TTCTGTGTGTCCCCATATATATATCTCTCTGTCTAATATGAAAAAAAAAGGTTACTCAAAGGGTTCAACGCAAGGATAGCAAGACGCTCGCTTCTCGCCTCTGTATCTGTCTTTATCCCCCACAAAACATGAACTAACCCGTGAAATACGAACCTCTGTGTCTCTATCTATCTATGTCTAAACCAGGGCTGAGAAGGAGAAGAACGAGTACTACGGCCAGTTGAACGATCTGCGCGCCGGTGTCGACCACATTACCAACGAGAAGGTATTGAAATTGATCTCTATATACTCGTTATTGCTCTCAACGCGATGCTGTAAATTTAAATGCTGAAAGTTCTAGTTTTGCCACGTCTACATCTGTGTATAGTATCAACGTAGTTGCAACGCAACCACACCGAAAATCCCCTTGAAAAAATATGTAAAAACTAAACCGACCCACCACTAAAGTAATTGTCCAAGCTTGATCTACTAATTCCCAAAGCCTTGTACAGCACAATGCCACACTCTCACAATCCAACAAAAAAAAAACAACGAATACAGAGTTGAGACTAATCCATCAATATTGTTAAAACCCAAAACAGGCTGCCCAGGAGAAGATCGCCAAGCAGCTGCAGCACACCCTCAACGAGGTGCAGTCGAAATTGGATGAGACCAACAGGACTCTGAACGACTTCGATGCCAGCAAGAAGAAGCTGTCCATTGAGAACTCCGATCTGCTCCGCCAGCTGGAGGAGGCCGAGTCCCAGGTGTCTCAGCTGTCCAAGATCAAGATCTCGCTGACCACCCAGTTGGAGGACACCAAGCGTCTGGCCGACGAGGAGTCGCGCGAGCGTGCCACCCTTTTGGGCAAGTTCCGCAACCTGGAGCACGACCTGGACAATCTGCGCGAGCAGGTTGAGGAGGAGGCCGAGGGCAAGGCCGATCTGCAGCGCCAGCTGAGCAAGGCTAACGCCGAGGCCCAGGTGTGGCGTAGCAAGTACGAGTCCGATGGCGTTGCCCGCTCCGAGGAGCTGGAGGAGGCCAAGAGGAAGCTGCAGGCCCGTTTGGCCGAGGCTGAGGAGACCATCGAGTCGCTCAACCAGAAGTGCATCGGCCTGGAGAAGACCAAGCAGCGTCTGTCCACCGAGGTGGAGGATCTGCAGCTGGAAGTGGACCGTGCCAACGCCATTGCCAATGCCGCCGAGAAGAAGCAGAAGGCCTTCGACAAGATCATCGGCGAGTGGAAGCTCAAGGTCGACGATCTGGCCGCCGAGCTGGATGCCTCCCAGAAGGAGTGCCGCAACTACTCCACCGAGTTGTTCCGTCTTAAGGGCGCCTACGAGGAGGGCCAGGAGCAGCTGGAGGCTGTGCGTCGTGAGAACAAGAACCTGGCCGATGAGGTCAAGGACTTGCTCGACCAGATCGGTGAGGGTGGCCGCAACATCCATGAGATCGAGAAGGCTCGCAAGCGCCTGGAGGCCGAGAAGGACGAGCTCCAGGCCGCCCTCGAGGAGGCTGAGGCCGCTCTCGAGCAGGAGGAGAACAAGGTGCTGCGCGCCCAGTTGGAGCTGTCGCAGGTGCGCCAGGAGATCGATCGCCGCATCCAGGAGAAGGAGGAGGAGTTCGAGAACACCCGCAAGAACCACCAGCGTGCCCTCGACTCCATGCAGGCTTCCCTCGAGGCTGAGGCCAAGGGCAAGGCTGAGGCCCTGCGCATGAAGAAGAAGCTGGAGGCTGACATCAACGAGCTTGAGATTGCTCTGGATCACGCCAACAAGGTGGGTTTTTACATTTTGTTATACAAGAAGGGCATTCCAGAATTTCATATTTATTTATTTTGCGAAACTTTTAGGCTAACGCCGAGGCCCAGAAGAACATCAAGCGTTACCAGCAGCAGCTGAAGGACATCCAGACCGCCCTCGAGGAAGAGCAGCGCGCCCGCGACGATGCCCGCGAACAGCTGGGCATCTCCGAGCGTCGTGCCAACGCCCTCCAGAACGAACTGGAGGAGTCTCGCACTCTGCTGGAGCAGGCCGATCGCGGCCGTCGCCAGGCCGAGCAGGAGCTGGCCGATGCCCACGAGCAGTTGAACGAGGTGTCCGCCCAGAACGCCTCCATCTCGGCTGCCAAGAGGAAGCTGGAGTCCGAGCTGCAGACCCTGCACTCCGATCTGGACGAGCTCCTCAACGAGGCCAAGAACTCCGAGGAGAAGGCCAAGAAGGCTATGGTCGATGCCGCCCGTCTGGCCGATGAGCTCCGCGCCGAGCAGGACCATGCCCAGACCCAGGAGAAGCTGAGGAAGGCCCTCGAGCAGCAGATCAAGGAGCTGCAGGTCCGTTTGGACGAGGCCGAGGCCAACGCCCTTAAGGGAGGCAAGAAGGCCATCCAGAAGCTGGAGCAGCGCGTCCGCGAGCTGGAGAACGAGCTGGATGGTGAGCAGAGGAGACACGCCGATGCCCAGAAGAACTTGCGCAAGTCCGAGCGTCGCGTCAAGGAGCTGAGCTTCCAGTCCGAGGAGGACCGCAAGAACCACGAGCGCATGCAGGATCTGGTCGACAAGCTGCAACAGAAGATCAAGACATACAAGAGGCAGATCGAGGAGGCCGAGGAAATCGCCGCCCTCAACTTGGCCAAATTCCGCAAGGCTCAGCAGGAGCTGGAGGAGGCCGAGGAGCGTGCCGATCTGGCCGAGCAGGCCATCAGCAAATTCCGCGCCAAGGGACGTGCCGGTTCTGTCGGTCGTGGTGCCAGCCCAGCGGTAAGTTCCAATCCCAACTTCAAAAGCCCCCTATCATCATCATACCCCTACCCCTTAAGCCCTTTACGATTATGACCCCTCAGAGGTTAAAAAGAAATTAAGAAAACCCATTTGAACTTCTCTCACTCGAACACTGAGCCTTCATATTGCTGCAATAGCCATCACACTCGCTCACGTTCTCTCTGGATCAGTTTTTGGAATAATGTGTATATTCTTCCCTTTCATATTGCGCGCGTATGCTCTGCTTCCACCCACGAAAAACAGATCTAAATCTGAGGCAACACCACCAAGTGAAAAAAAATCTATATAGCGATCCAATTATGGTTCATTAACGATAATGAGAGAACAAAACCATGCAAAGAGAATTATAGCTTATAAGAATTATTATAAAATAAATACTAATAACAATAATATAGATGCATCATACGACATTCGCTAGCAGACAAAAGTGTAAAAATTAGAGGCCACCCAAATCAGAAATCAAAGGATCAATTCATCGAATACCAACCAAGAATGCGTTCATTTTGACAGAAAACCAAACGAAAAGCAAAAAAAAAATATGCAAATAAACAAGCAAGCAACCAACAGCAGCACCAGGCTAAATCAATCGAATTGCTTCCTTTACCAACCATTTACAAAGAACAATACTATTCTTCCACTATATTATTATAAACTGTATTTGTACATGTGTACTGCAGCCGACAGCGTCAAAGGGCCGCAAGAGCGCGCTGCTGGAGCAGTAAAAACTTTCTTGAAACATTTGTAAGTGGACGTGATCGTGCACGTCTTGACCCGTTCTTGTTGTGTCGGAACTCTTTCCTCCCACTTCCCCACACACACGCTGTCAGTTAGTCAACCGCAGCTCATCTCATTGTCTCGCTCACTCGATCGTTGTCCTTGCTCAAACTCATTCGTTACGTTTTGTCGTCTCGTACTTGTACTCGTCAAGCGTTCTTGCTCCTCTCTCATTTGATACTCGTCTCCCCAGTAAGACACTCTCTCTCTCTCGAAAAGCATTTACGTATGCTCACTTCGTACCTTGGTTACCGTTATTTCATCCCTACATTCGCTGGCACTAAGAAACGTGCTCAGAGAGTGCCGGGCGTTCTCGTTATCGTTCTTTCCTAAGCAGTCGATCCAACCTGGCGACTCGTCCCATCCCCGGCATGTTTTAATATAGTACGTCCTCTTCAACTAATCTAACTCATTTATTTATCTATTCTGCAGCCCCGTGCGACGTCCGTTAGGCCACAATTCGACGGATTGGCCTTCCCACCAAGATTCGACCTTGCTCCTGAAAACGAATTCTAAATGCCATTTCATTTTTTAATTTATTTTAAATGATATTTCATAATGATTATGTTTATGATTTTAATTTAATTTCTTAATTTAAAAACAAAATAATAAAACTATAACAAAATATATATCGAAAACGACGGGAGGCAAACCACCAACTACGCCAAATGCACTTAGGCAAAAAATGAAATCAAATAACAACAATCGATCACCATCGGTTAGCATACTTACATAAGTGAACAGTGTACTATAGCATCACTGTGTATATCAGGCTTTTGTGTAAGCGCGACATTTGCCATGGGGACACTGCTCGCTGGACCTGTATTTGTATTTGTATTTATATATTTTTATACAACTTTCGAAATGCATTCAACCAACTTACAATCAAAGAACCATTCGATTCTCAGGCCAACAACATGAGAAAGATCGATCGCGAAATGAGAGAGCCCCGTCAAAATGAAGGCCCCGCGGCGGTGTCCGCCGGTAAATGTCGCCCGCTGTTCGAATATTTTGCTCTATATGTATTCTCAATTAATTGTCATACAGACCAGACAAGACTTACGGACGACACGAGCTATACACTGCGCTTATGTTTATGTTTAATTTTGACTCTATCAAGCAATGATAATGAGATAAGATCATCACTCGACACTAAATGAAAAGTATACAAAAAAGGAACAAAATAAATGTAAATCAATTTAAAAAGTGTGTTTTATTCAAAGCAGATCTACCTTGGGTGTCAATTTAAATCAGAACGAGATGTCTTCTAACTAAATAAATTAAATTCAGTTAATCTGATGGACTTGAAAATGATCACCCTAATGATCTAAAGCCCTTCGAATCATTATTTCATAAAAATATATTTTCAATTTGTTTGTCTAGCCAGGATAACAGTAAGACAATTTTTGATGTCTTATTTCATCTGTTAACTTAAAATAATTGTATATACAATCAAAACGACGTTATCTTTTAAACTAATAAAATTGTATGGATATATTTATTTACTTTTAACATAGTCCCCATAAATCCTATTTTCCCGCCCCGGGAGCCCTGGGATTGGGCTCAATGCGCAGCAGTTGCTTGTGCTGGCCGATCATGTGCTCGATGTGGTTGCATTCGCGCAGATGACCCTTGAACTCATCCAAAGTCTCGTAAAGCACCGGATAAAGAGCGGGCAGGAGGCCATGGTCCAGGGTCGGGAAGAGATGATGGAGCACATGGTCGCCGAAGTGGGTGAGCACCAGGAACTGCGACCACTTGAGATCGCCGCGGTCAATGATCGTGTCCACCTGGAAGAGGCCCCAGTCGCGATCCTCGCGATTTGCATCGCCCTCGTGATAGATTTCCGGATCGTGATGCGCCGCATTCAGACCGATCAGGCAGAAGCTAAAGCTGGCAATCGACGTCATCGCGAGCCACTGGCGAACGCAGATCCACACGCCCAACGAACCCCCGGTTCCCAGGTATATGGCGATCGGGATGCTCAGCGGCAGCAGATCGTGCCAGTACAGGATGTTCGTGTGGCGCAGCGAATAGAATATACTGCAATATCAATCAACCAAACGATCACTGATTAGACTTTGTTTACCTCCATCTCGAGCACTCACTCACCGTGTGCCTATCTGTATGAAGAAGGCTAGGGCATAGGCCACCGGTTCCGTGACCCAGGACACATAGCGCATCAGCTTGCTTTTGATGTGCGGATTGGGCACCCAGCACAGCAGTGGCTCGAACATGGACAGTTCCAGGTCGAAATAGGAGTTCGGATAGATGTGGTGGGACAGGGCATGGGACACTCGCCAGGAGGCGAAGTTCATCAGTCCCAGGTTGAAGGCGTACATCTGCCAGTTGTCACGCCGATGGAAGTAGTTGTGGGATACAATTACCGTCCAGCAGAGGGCCACACCCGCCAGGACCAGAGCCACAACGCTGTTGTATTTGGCACTGGCAATACCAAAGAGGAAGAGTGACACAAGGACCCCCAAGTGGATCATCTATAAGACAAAAAATATTATAAATCGTTAATTAGCACTAGCTATGTATAAACACCAATTTGAAATTACTTCAAGTTGCCTTAATTCTGACTTATCACTGCCACTAGAGTTGTAAAAGTGGTGCAACACGTGAAATGTAAGATTAGTTGTCAGAAATAACATACTAAGTTTCGAAAAACTAGAGACAGATATTTTCTAATCAGTATGTAATTGATAAGCCAAATAGAATTGATATGAAATAGTATTAAAAACACGCCCATTTCTTATCAATTAGTTTTTCACGTTTCTACACTTACATCACTCTTTCTCTTCGGCCGCTTGTCGACCGTCTGCAGCTTTTCGCGTACTCGCCCCTTGAGGGTCTTGTAGAATCCTCCCTCCTCGAGGGTCAAGGTGTAGATCCTTGGCTCTGCCGCATCCTTCACCTTGTACTTGGCGATCATCTTCTCGGGAGTCGTCGTGAGATGATGTGCCTCAAAGGCCTCGGTAATGTCGGTTCCCTTGGTCTCGCGAATCCAGAAGGGACCGCCAGGATGTTTGTCAATGAACTCGGTGAAGTCATAGATGCCATCGTAGATGCGCCAGAGTCCTTCGGCCCGATCGTCCTGTCGCTTACCCTTCTGCCAGCTGTGAGTGGTGACCAGGGGCGAGTTGCGATAGGTTGGAAACTTGGTGGCAATCCCGCTCTTTTTCCACTCCTCAATCACCATTTTGGCAAGTCCTTTTAGGTTCTTGACTTCTTTGGTAAACACTACACCGATACAGGAACGTTCGGCCTACGCTTCCAGCCACTTACTGAATGGCACCGGCATTGGCGCTGTGAATTTATGCGTAGCGCAAATCTCACCAGATTATATAAACCAAAAATCGATTCAAATTTACAAACAAAACGTTTCCATTTGATAAGATGTCCACCTTATCAGCGGAGCGCCATGGGGCCACAGCTGCCGCCTCTAAACTCTTACGTCCATTTTAATCTCATATATTGTCCTTATCAAAATTTTACTAGGTGAAATCACCCAGTGGGTTAGTCGTCGACAATAGGTCAGTGCGGTGCTCACAAACATTGTTATACCATTGCAGCAAATTGAGGCTTCGTTCGGCTGGCGAGAGTCTAGCCGAAAGCTATTAGCTATATGTATGGGAAAGTCTTATTTTTTGAGGCTCCTACACTCAGAAAACAAATCTCCTTCATTTTAGGAACACTTTCTTAATTTAACAAATAATAGGGGATAAGGTGGTAATATTTAATAAAGAACAAATAATCTTACTATTTAAGACACTGGGCGGCTACATGGAATTAGAAATTTTTCCTAAAAACGAGGAATTTTTTTCTGTTTTTAAAAAATATGTTTGTAAAATGGCTAGAAGAAAAAAAGGGTTTGCAAATCCCTACTCGTTAAGTACAGTAGCCAGCTGAATTTGGAGTATTTAATGAACAAGTAGACCAAAACCTTTCGGAAGTATGTATACATAAAATATATCAGGACCTTTAAAAGAACTGCTTTTTAAGTCGAATTCCTAGCTACTCTTACATGTATATCAATATAACCCAAAGGCCTATAAAAGTCTGCATATGTATATTCGACTACCGCTTACATTAAATCAAAGTGTGCCCTGTATACCATTTAAGTATTATTTCATTTCCATTTCGACCCATGATAAGAAGTGAGAGGGAGTGAGCAAAAAGCTTTTGATCTGTCATACTCTCGGTTCAAAGCTTTTCTAATTGATCGAGCGAGTGTAATCCGAAGACAAAAGCCGAGCGACGCTCTAAATAAAAGTTTAGTAGGCGCTACGTAAACAAACTCTGCGGTCTTCACTGGGGTGCACAGAGCGACCGGTTCTTTCGGTGGGTACTAAGTTGAACTTGGGAACCAATGAGCTATGTAGTTATCAGCTTCGACTTAATTTATGCACTCAAGATATTTATATGGCTAAAATTAGCTCCTATTAATCGTGTAGATCGATTAACAAATTGTGCACACAATGGCGCCCAATATAAAAGAGGATGAAGCCTGGAAAGTGTCAGGAATTTCGAGGACTTATCCGAGTTACCGCCAGTATCGTCCCATTACAAGTGAAAGGTATGTATCTAAAATATCTTTTAAATAAACAAATAAACATAAATTAAATAAATTTTACTTGCTTAGCTGGCTGGAGGGCAAAAATGCCGATGACGAGGCCGAAGGTCTTTGGCGCATTAACGATAAGCTGTACGACTTAAGCGATTTTGCCTCTCGCCATCCGGGTGGCGCCTTTTGGATTGAGTGCACCAGGGGCACGGATATCACGGAACCCTTCGAATCGCATCACATCGAGGAGCGAGCTCGCAAAATGCTGAGCAAATTCGAAGTGCGACAGGCTTCGAAGCCCCGAAACTACAAGTTTACGCTGAAAGAAAATGGGTTTTACATGACCCTGAAGCGAAGAGTGCGAGAAAAGCTGAAAAAGATTGAGTACGCTCCCACCAAGAAAACAGAGGTATAACAAATGTTCTTAGGGCACATCTTCTGAGTATGTCATTTAAGGCTTTATTTTATTAATTATTAAATTAATTTTTAGAAAGAAAAATACCCTTGACAAATATCAACATGCCTTAATTAACTTAAATGTTTTTATCTTTCAGTTTCTGCATCTGGGCATCCTGTTGTCCGTGTTCCTTTTCAGCTGGGCAGGCACAATTTTGAACTCTCTGATTTTCCAGGCTCTTGCTGGATTGGCCCTATGCTGGGTAGCCACCTCCACCCACAATTACTTCCATCAGCGGGATAGTTGGCGGATGTACACTTTTAATCTGACGATGATGAACTTCCGGAATTGGCGGGTATCTCATGCCTTATCACACCATGTCTATGCGAATTCACTACATGATCTGGAGATGTCCATGTTTGAGCCATTCTTGTGCTGGATTCCCGATCGTCATTATGCCAGTAAAACGCAGCGTTGGATCTCGGTGGTTATCTCCCCGGTGGTATATGTGGTACTGTTCCAAGGACAGTTTCTTATTCGGTAATATAATACAATATAATTTATTTATTTTTTTATTAGATACTTAAAGATTTTCTTTACTTTCAGTTTGGTTTTATCCCTTACCAAAAGAAACGTCTTGCACTGGGATGATCTTATTGGTCTGACCCTACCAATATTTCTTTATTTGTTCACTGGAGCTGATCTATTTGAAACTCTTATTAGCTGGCAAATAATCGTAGCGGTGGGCAGCTTTATTTTTGGACTTGTTGGTCTTACGGCAGCTCATCATGATCCTCGCATTCTACACGATGGCGATGCCCAACGCCAGGACATGGATTGGGGTCTATATCAGGTGGATACCATCATAGATCGTGGCGACATTAAGTGGTCGGATCTCTTGGTGCTTACCCACTTTGGTGAGCACGCCCTGCATCACCTTTTCCCCACTCTGGATCACGGAGTGCTCAAACATCTCTACCCAGAGTTGAAGAAAACGATGAAAGAATTCGATGTGGAACTGAGGGAGATCAATCATTGGGGTCACATCAAGGGTCAGAACGAGCAATTGCTGAGGATAAAAAAGAATACTTTACCACCGGGTAGTAAAAAGATTGAGTAGGACGGGGTTGGGAACTAAATAAATAATGTCTAATGGGCAGGGAAATTGTTGTTTTGTAAATAATTAAATTATATAAGTCTTAGATCCTTAAAGCTAAGGATTTTTTAACAACTATTAAAAGCAAGGTGAAATTGTTAAAATAGATTTAATGATCCTATTCATACTCTTATATTAATTGTAATTCACCATATGAACCAAACATGCTCTTATCAAAAAGCTTTTCTTAGCTCTCTTTCTTTTTTTCTCTGTTATCGTCTGTTTAAAGCTTCTTTACCGTTTCCGCTTTTTTATTATATCTTTAAAAGCATCGTTTATGGTTTAGTTTATCTGGTGCTTAAGCAACCCATAAACATTTCTTAACACACTTTATTTAGCGGCTCTTTAAAGTTGAGAGTTCAGCTGCTGCTGACTGATAATTTGTTTGCGTAAACGTTAGACCACGACAAATGGACGCACTTTTCGCTGAGTCACGGTGTCAAAGCAAATAGGAATCAATGAGCATAAGTCGATACATAAATGTATGATTTGAAACCTTGTAAATTTGAACACAAAATAACTTTATAAGGAATAATGAAAATCCTATTTGGGAAAGGGAAAATTAAAACTTAATAAGTAACCAAAATTTCATTGTAAGTTTTTTTTTTAAATTTTAAAATTGAATTTTCTTGTAGTCTAGTTTATAATTGTTAACAAATTTATAAAATTGTGCTGAAATAATTTGATAAAATAACCTATTTAAGATTGTCGTTCGGAGTAAATGGAGAAGATAAGCGATTCGGGTGGCCAGCAGCTAGGCAAGTTCTCCAATAAATAGCTGGTTGCGAGAACGGTTTTCATCAGTTTCATTTCATACTTTTTTTATAATTCTGGACCCAGCAACCAAACCTTTAAGAGCAGTTAGATAGAAGTTTCATTTCGAAGAAAAGAAGGTCGATAGCGAATCTAAACTTTAAGAGTTTACCTTTGGAACATGATTTATATATTGTGGGAACCACTTTATCATGTATTTTAAAAATAACTAAAGTTGTGGAATAAAAATAAAATTCAATTGTATTGAAATAAAACTCTCTTAAATTTCTAAAAAATATATCCATAAGTCTGACTCCTTTTCAGAGACCTTAACTACTTTAAATTCTTCCATTAAGAGTTTAGTCAGACAATTAAGAGCTTTAGATAAGAGTATCGTGCGGAATTGAAGGGAGTCAATAGGCAACAGGTGAAGTTTACTTATAAATAGCTGTCCGCATGTCCGGCTCTCTTTAGTTCTTATTTCGACATTGACCGGCGAGGGCACGCCAAAAGTTTCTAAAATGTTCGCGGCTCGATGTGTATTTTTGTTGCTACTCGCGGTAGTAGCTTCCACGCGGGGAGCCAATATTTTGGGGCTCTTCAGCAGCCACAGTCCGTCGCATCTGATCATCCACATGTCGGTGGCCAAGGCACTGGCCGAAGCAGGACATAACGTGACTGTGGTGTCGATGCTGAAGCCCACGATAACCCACAAGGACATCACCGTGATTGTGGTGCCGATGAAAAAGGAGCAAGAGCTGGTAATGGAAAACCAAATGTCCGTAATGGCCGGTCAGAAGAACTCTCTCTTCAGCACTATGAATCGCATTCTTAATGACATGGATGTGATGATAAAGGCCCAGGCCGAACTGCTTTCCGATCCGAGATTCCTGCGCATCTATGAGACCAAATTCGATTTGATGATACTTGGTTATTTTATAAACGATTTTCAATTGGGAGTTGCAGCCAAGCTAAAGGTGCCTGTAATCGTTGACTGGATGTCGGCGCCTGTTCCCATCATTGAAAAATTCACGGGTAATCCCTCGGAGATCTCGTATGTGCCCATTATGGGCACTGTTGTAACGCATCCTATGAGTTTTTTCAATCGAATCGAGAACTTGGCCAAGTCTCTGATCTTTAAATACATTATAGTTGCGTTTGAGTATAAATTGTTCAGAATTTATAAAGAAGTCTTCCCGGCTAAAGATCAGCCAACTCTAGATGAGCTTCGAAAGAATATCTCCATGGTCTTTGTCGGCTGCCATTTGAATAGTGAGGGACCCATTCGAGCCCTTGTTCCTGCCATTGTTGAAATCGGAGGCATTCAGGTGAAGGACAAGCCGGATACGCTGCCCAAGGATATTGATACGTTTTTAAATAAATCGAAGCAAGGAGCTGTCTTTCTCTCACTCGGCTCTAACATCAAGAGCTCCTCGGTAAAGCCGGAAATCGTTCAGACCCTCTTCAAGGTCCTATCAGGACTGAAACAGAACGTTATTTGGAAGTGGGAGGACCTGGAAAAAACGCCAGGAAATGCATCCAACATTCTCTATAAGAACTGGCTGCCCCAAGATGATATCCTGGCCCATCCAAACACCAAACTCTTTATCACACATGCCGGAAAGGGTGGCATCACCGAGGCCCAATACCATGGAGTACCTATGGTTGCCTTGCCCATTTTCGGGGATCAGCACGGAAATGCTGGTGTAATGGAAAAATCGGGATATGGCGTTGCCCTTGATTTGCTCACCATAACGGAGGACAGTCTAAAAGAGGCCGTGGAAGAAGTCTTGGGAAACGAGAAGTATCGTCAAGCTATTGGGAAATTCTCCGCCCTTTATAGAGATCGACCCCTGACTCCAAAACAGTTGGTGGTTTACTGGACGGAGTACATTCTGAAGCATCGAGGTGCCCCCCACTTGCAGAGTCCAGCGGTGCATATGAGCTTCATTGAGCTAAACAATCTGGATATATACGCTCTAATTTTAACAATCCTAGTTTTGTTCGTCTTCCTAACTCGCCTGGTTGGTAAATTAATTTGGAAAAAGTTTTGGGGCACGACAAAGATATCAAAAGCGAAAAAGAACCAATAAATTTATTTAATTTTGAATTGTATATTTATAATAAATAAAAATTTTAACTTTAAATAGCTCCATAAAATAATATCAAATGTTTTTCTTTTTAATGCATATATTTCATAAAACACCAGGGAGTCTATCATCTGCAAAGTCCCCTCATCCACATGGACTTTGTGGCCCGCTACAATCTTGATGTTTATGGAGTAGTCCTCACTGTCAGTCTGGTTCTATTCTTTATACTCATAGTCATACTTCGCTGGGTATTTTGCAAGGTTTTTAGAATTGTGCGTGGTCACAGTTATCGCAGGAAATCGCCGCATATAAAGCTTAAAACTAATTAATCGCAATCACTGTGTATACGTAATATCAGTTAATATTATGAAATACGAAATTGCATGTGCTCAGCAGGTTCACAGATCAAGCAGTCTAAGACTCTTAAGAACAAAAATAATTAAATTTATATTCAAAAATAAAAACATTTGTTGAACATATTTTATGAGAAGCTACACTTGCAATAATCACTGATTACGGAAGTAAAGAGGCAGGGTTAAAAAAAAATAAAGATTTGCCGGAAAGCATGACTCAGTATAAAACAGTCGTCCATTGAAATTGATTGTTCTCAGACGTATATATTATACAGATATGTATAATCTAAGAAAGGTACACCATGAAAAAAATCGGTCGCAGTTTTGGAAGTCGCAAGTTGCAAATAAACAAATTCATCATAATTTTAATAAATAATAAAAATGTAAAGTAGATTTATATTATGAAAAGTATACAATAAATTTGGAATACCTTTTTAATTTGCACCTACATCGCCTAGTAATGCTTGTGTTGCTATCTGCAACGAAACTCAAGTGCCGTAAGTGACCTGCGAAATTAAATTTATTTACACTGATGTCATGCACCTTAGACAACCCGGCAATTAAACAAATAGCAACAATGATCCCCAGACCTAGAACAACACTCACTTAACAGGTTGCTCCCACATTCTCCCACAGCGATTATTTTTAAAACCCTCCCCGCTCTGCGATTCTCTGAAATTCTCTCTATATAGAAACTATAGCTTCGGCTCATTACGATTCCGATTCCGATGCCGATTCCGATTCCGATTCGGGTTCGGATTCAATTCTCAGTGATTCGAGTGGCTCTGAGGCAGCGCGTGCCGTACGCGTATTGTTTTCCAAATTTGTTTTATATTATTTAATGGTTTACTTCGGTGTCTGTATATAGACGAGGTATTTAGAATATCTATAATTGTTGTGTTGGAGTCATCAACAGAGAGTGCCAATTCAATGAAATAATAGTTAACCTCCAAGTTGACATTGACAATGCGACAAGGGTGCAACCTTTAACCTGTTTACTTGCAGTCAAAACCATTTGAAAATATTGCCTGTCGTCTATTTTAAAGTGCAATATAATTAAAGTTCCATTTAGGGTTATTCGGGGACAATAAATGCAACAATTACTATAAAAGTATTTTTAAAGACATCACAAGAGCTTTTAATATTGACCACTGTTCGTTTGGGCTCATAGTATGAAATAATATAATTGTTTTTAAACAAGAAAGAAAGCAAACTTCGGCAAGCCGAAGTTCATATACCCTTGCAGCTATCGCAAGAATTAAATATTTTTGAAAACATTAAAATTATGATTTACTTGCGTATATGTTTAAAAACATTGAAGCTATGACGATTTGCAGCTTAATTATTTGATTGTTCTTTTATATATTTTTATTATTTCTATGGGAGCTATATGATATAGTCGTCCGATTTTGATGAAATTTAAACCATAATCCTAAAATATTTAACCATTGCTATATGTCGAAGAACTAAAAAAAAAAATTAAAAAACAGCAAAGTTATAATTTTTTTTCAATTATTTTTCCGATTGTTCCTATGGAAGCTATATGCTATAGTCGTCCGATTTTGATGAAATTTTAACCATAATTCTGAAATATTTACCCATTGCTATACGTCGAAGAACTAAACAAAAAATTAAAAAACAGCAAAGTTACAATTTTTTTTCAATTATTTTTCCGATTGTTCCTATGGGAGCTATATGCTATAGTCGTCCGATTTTGATGAAATTTTAACCATAATTCTGAAATATTTAACCATTGCTTTATGTCGAAGAACAAAACAAAAAATTAAAAAACAGCAAAGTTATAATTTTTTTTCAATTATTTTTCCGATTGTTCCTATGGGAGCTATATGCTATAGTCGTCCGATTTTGATGAAATTTAAACCATAATTCTGAAATATTTAACCATTGCTATGTGTCGAAGAACTAAACAAAAAATTAAAAAACAGCAAAGTTATAATTTTTTTTCATTTATTTTTCCGATTGTTCCTATGGGAGCTATATGCTATAGTCGTCCGATCCGGCTCGTTCCGACTTATATACTACCTGCAATAGAAAGACAACTTTTGGGAAAGTTTCATGCAGATAGCTTTAAAACTGAAAGACTAGTTCGCATATAAACGGACGGACAGACGGACAGACGGACAGACGGACGGACAGACGGACATGGCTAGATCAACTCGCCTAGTGATGCTGATCAAGAATATATATACTTTATAGGGTCGGAGATGTCTCCTTCACTGCGTTGCAAACTTCTGACTGAAATTATAATACCCTCTGCAAGGGTATAAAAATAATTAATTTTAAGTTAGGGCCGTCAGAGGATATAAAAGGCAACGTGTACTTTTACTTAATGTACACGTACTAACTTCCTTCGCATTAATAAGGCAATTATAACTTGGCCGTGACAAACATTTTGAAATTCGATGTACTAAACAAAAATGACATATATATTTGCAGATTAACGGTCAAAGGGAATCTTATCAGTTCGTTATCGCCCGAACCGACTGAGTATAAGATAGTCGCCGGCTGCTTGCAGCTCAATCAGTTTGCATTTGTACTTGGACTTGAACGGAGCTAGTGATGGCACAAGACCGGAGCACGTGGATCGGCTGCAGCTTGGGCGGACTTCTGGTCGCCCTGCTGGCCCTGCAGTCGATGCCCCAAGGAAGCGAAGGAGCCAACATTCTGGGCGTGTTTACCAGCCACAGTCCGTCGCACTTGATTATTCACATGTCGATCATGAAGACGCTGGCCGAGAAGGGTCACAATGTGACCGTCGTCTCCTCGATGCCACCGAAAGTAACGCACAAGAGCATTAAGCACATTGTGGTGCCCATGAGTGCGGAGGATGAGAAAATCCTCAACGACGGCATGTCCGGGATGGTCAAGGAGAAGCCCTCGATTTGGAACACGATGAAGTCGATCTTCAGCTCGCTGGCGCTGCTCATCGACAAACAGGTGGACGTGCTGGAGGATCCGCGTTTCCAGGAGCTCTACCTCAACAAGGGCAACAAGTTCGATGTGGTCTTCGTGGGATTCTTCTTTAACACTTACCAGGTGGCCTTGGGCGCCCGGTTCAATTGCCCCGTAATTATTTCCTGGTCGGGACCACCCATGATGATGGTCAACGAGGTGCTGGGCAATCCGGAGCTGTCCAGCGTGCCACAAATGCAAATTGCTGTGGCCGCGGGACAGCCCATGAATTTCAAGCAGCGAGTGCAGAACTTTGCCAGCACTCTCGGTTTTAATGCGCTCAATTTCTTCCTAACCCACAAATACAATGGTTTCTACAAGTGAGTACATCACAATTGATTATCTCAAAGATTAAACAAATTTTTCTTATCCCTTCAGTCGACTTTGGGGCAATGACAAATCAATGCCCACTTTTGAGGTGGCCAAGAGGAATGTCTCGCTGGCCTTCTGCAATAGCCATGCTATCAGCGAAGGACCCATCCGTCCCAATGTGCCGGGCGTCGTTGAAATCGGAGGCATCCAGATTAAGAACAAGCCCGATCCTCTGCCCGAGGACATCAAGGAGTTCTTGGACAAGGGCAAGCACGGCGCCATCCTCTTCAGTCTGGGATCGAACTTGAAGGGCGAGCACATCCAGCCACAGGTGATTGAAACCATTTTCAAGGGCCTGAGCAGCGTAAAGCAGCAGGTGATCTGGAAGTGGGAGGACACCAAGAACACGCCCGGCAAGTCGCCGAATATACTGTACAAGAAGTGGCTGCCACAGGACGATATCCTGGCCCATCCCAAGATCAAGCTGTTCATAACCCATGCGGGCAAAGGGGGCGTGGCCGAGGCCCAGTACCATGGCGTTCCCATGCTGGCGCTGCCCGTCTTCGCCGATCAGCCGGGAAATGCCGATAAATTGGCGGAGAGTGGATATGGCCTACAACTGCCACTGGCCAGCCTCGAGTTGGATGAGTTCAAGGCGGCCATCAAGGAGGTGATCGAGAATCCCAAGTTCGCCGAGAAGTTGAAGGTCTTCTCGCAGCTCTATCGCGATCGTCCCTTGACTGCCCAGGAATCGGTGGTCTACTGGACGGAGTACGTCATCCGGTACCACGGTGCCGCCCACATGCAGAGTCCCTTGGTTCACATGGGCTTCGTGGCCAGCCATAATCTGGACATCTATGTCATCGCCGTTTTGGTCCTCTACATCCTGTTCCTCATTAACAAGATCGTTTGGAAGTTTGTGTGGCGCAAATTGTGCGGCAAGTCGAACAAAGCTGCTCAGAAGAAGAAGGTTAAGAAGCAGTAAATAGACGATAATAGAAATAAGTGAATTTTATACAAGACGACTAAACGAAATAATATGTAAAAGAAAACTGTGTATTTTTTCCATTATAAATAAAAGTTTAAAATGTTATAAAAAACATTATTTTTTAAGTGTTTTAGCAAATATTACTTTATTTAAGTAAAATATTTCGTACGAACTTTTTTAATAAAGCAGGTGAGGAATGCATTACTTACAATACAAATGTTCATAACATTTAGTTAACCAGACTATTATCACTATAAGCCGCCGAATATCTTGTCATTAATGAATCGTTATCAATTTCGCTGAGGGCGAACACATAATGTTAATAACAGTGACAACAAACATGTGTTTTGTTGCTTGGCGTGAGAGCTCATGCTCTCGGAAAACAATTATTTACAAAATGGTCAGACTCTCTGGCTCTCAGTCATTTATTCCGACTGCTTTTTTGCATAAATTATTTTTTATGACGAGTTTTGTTTACCAAATTAGTAGACTTGTTTAAGTTGTAAAGTGCCACTCGTTTTGTGTTAAAAAATAACTATTTAATTATTACATTGCAGAAACAAACTTTGAAATTAAAAAAAACAAAATTTCACCATTAAATTAATTATATACAAGGCAGTCTTACAATTCACATTGTTTAAGTTGTTTAGTTCCACGCGTTTTGTATTAAAAAACAGAAAAACAACTTAATTATTACATTATTGGAAATTTTTTGCCGCAACCTACATTAAAATTTAAAACAAAATTTCACCATTAAATAAATCAAATGCAAATTCACCTCATATGTTTGGTTTGTGTCTTTGATCAATCATTGTTGTAGCGTGGACATAAACCAAAAGCTTTTAACAAACATCTCCAAATCTAGCTAAAGAGAAACATTTTCCATTCAAATGTTCTTCAGTGATTGTTTTTGTATTTTATTTAAAAACACATATCATCCGAATGAGGGGCTTGCTTCTTTCAAACGAACTACACAAAGACACCAAAGATGCCCGCATAATCCGGTTTTAGGGGGCATCCATGACCTTGGGCCTGGGCGGATCAGCCTCCTCTTTCTGAATGGGCTCGATGGTTTCAAAGGTGTTGATATCCTGCAGCACACGGCACGTCTCGCTGACCAGTTCCTCGGGATCCTTCACTATATCCTGGATATTCTCGAGCTGCCGCTGAAGGTCGGGCATTTGCTTGCGATTGGCAAACTCACCCACTCCCAGTTCCGCGTGAATGGTGTCCATTAGATTGGCCAGCAGAAGGCTTTCGCTGTGACTGAAGTTAGCGCTCTCGCTGCTGCCCTTCAGGATGCAGTTCCTCACCTCCTCGGCCTCGTAGCACATGCCCAGTCGATTGTGGTAGTGGGTGGGAGGCATCTGCTCGCCACCCGGCAGTGGAAACTCATAGTCAACCTCCTCAGTGATCAAACGTGTGGGACACCAGTAGTTGTTCATCTAAAGAGGATTGAAATAGAATTTTTGATTAAACGTATATAGTTTCATACTGACTTTAATTGACCCATCTTTGCCCTGGATAATGGCCTGGTTGCAGAGCTTCTTTTCCGCGCTGACCTCGATGAAGGCTCTTTTGCCGCGGGTGAAGCAGAGTTCAATATCGGCGGCCACGTCCACATGCTCCGCATTGACCTTGCCACTGACCTTGAGGCAGCGCGGCACCTCCCGAAACACCCACAACGCCAGTTGCATTCCGTAGACGCCAAAATCGCTGGTGACTCCGCCATAAAGTGACAGTCTCCTGTGGGTTATTCAAGTGGTTGTTCAGGAACAGTTTGATTACCAAATAAAAGTAGAAACCATACCCCTGGTGGACGGGCAATCCCAGAGAACAGCGGACATGCTGAAGTTCACCGAGGCGATTGCGCAGGATCTGGTGGCGCAGGTAATGATAGGCGGGCACACATCTTGGCCACATTCCCTCCATGAGGAAGAGACCCCGCGCCTGCGCCTTCTCCAGCAGCTTGGTCACCTGCTCCTCCGTCATGCACAGCGGCTTTTCGCACAGCACGTGCTTGTCGTGGTTCAGCATCAGGTGGCACAGCTCCGAGTGTTGCGGATTCAGCGGCGATATGTACACAACGTCTAGACTTGAACAGAATTATTTGTTAATGCGGGCTCAGAGGGATAAGTTCTTTAGTTATATAGGAGTTAGCTAGCTTTTATGAAAAAAAATGTTGATATGATATGATATGATATTCATACAACAACAGTCAAGTTATAAAAAATATAAAAATTTAATGAGTCAATATTTTTTAAGAAGTCTTTCATATATATTCTAAAAAGCGTTATTAAAATGTGGTTTTTATTAACTTCATAAACAAAGAGTTTGTTTTATGTTAATGTATGTTATTTTAAATATTACTGTTTAAAGTATCCATAAATTACTTATCCTTCATGTGGTCATAATAAAAATATTTTATAGCACTATGTTTTTTTGTGTTTTTTTAAAGCATTATGTTTCTGTTTTTTTTTTATATATTAAAATATTTTATAAAAGATCAAAAAATTCAGAAGTATTTTGTATTTAAACTAAAACATAAATATATAAATATATATCTATAGAAACTCACCGACATCGGGGCACTTGGCCAGATCCTCGAAGCTGGTGTACACATTCTCCACGCGATGGCGATCGGCGAAGGCGAGGGCGTGCGACTGGTAGGCGGCCACGCAGGACACGATGCGGTGGTGCTGCTCCGGCAGGACACTCAGAGCAGCGGCAAAGTCGTCGGCCATCAGGCTAACGGGTGCAATGCCCCAACGCAGCGTTGGGCCCTCATCCTCCGCCCACTCGGCCTGGCCCGGCTCAACCTTTGACCCCGCCTTGGAATTGGCCTTGGCGGAGGGAAACCGATTGATGTGCAGTTCGCGAGGGCGCGGTCGCCACATGCTGTGGTCGCCAATATCACCGCCAACAAATCCGAATTCGAATCCGCTCCGCCTGCAGTCCGACCTGCATGATGGGCGTGTGGCACAGCCAGTGGGCAGGCGATCTGAAGAGTGGAGAGGATGGACTTACTCATCTCGTACAGAGAAAACTGCACTCAGAAAAATGTAATCACAAACATAAATAAAGGGACAATTATTACCAATAAATAATTTTATAAATATCATAGCAACAAATTTCTATAAAATATTATATAGAAATATTACCTTTTGTAAGATTTTAAACATATTTTAAACTTTACGAACATTAAGCAATTGAACGTAAAAAAATAGGTTGACTTATTGTAAAGCGATTAAGAGAAAAAAGGCTCCTAAGAAGTTATAAGCAAATAAATAAAAAAATGTATGTTAAAAATAATATATTATATTATTTTCTGTATAAAAAGAGATTTTAAAAGTAAAAAACTTTGGTCTTAAATGTATTTGCAATACGCAATCATTTATTTTTCGAGTGTACAACAGCCAGTGGCGATCAGTGGCTAGTTTGTCGCGTAAAACGCATTTCATTCATACAATCGAGCGCTTTTCCACGAATTGGCGAAATTGCGGGTGTTGGATTTGGCCGCCGGCAACCGGTCCGGACTGCGGGCCATCCGTGGACCATCTACGTCGAAAAGCGAGACGACGGGCGCATTATGTGGCGCTGTTTAGTGCGTCAGTTCCTCCATAATTAGTCATATTTGTTTAGCATCACAACTTGTGAATGACTCGCTGCCGTTGGCTGCAGCTCAGTCAGGTTTTGTTTCTTATTTTTCTTATTTTTCTTATTTTTTTTTGTTGTTGTCGCATTGGCCTGGTCCTGGCCAAGTTGGCCATGTTGGGAGCTGCCTGGGCCGCGCACTTTGCGCTTCGTTCTGTCCGCATTCGAATTTCACTTTCTTTTTAGAAACTAAGCATTGGACTGTTTGTGTATTTATCACCGGAGTAACTGCTGGATGGGTAGCCTCACTTTGACGAGTGGTTGTACTTTATCAGCGGGGAGAAATCGTTGGGTTTATGCCGATTTTTTCTTATTATTGCTTTAAATATTATTTTAAATGATTTCTCGAAATTGAGAAGCTTGTCATTAGGCTTTAATTGAATTTTCAAATTAAGATTCGTTTTCTTATCCTCTTTTTAATGTATATAATAAATATAATTCTTAGATACTTTAAATATACTTTAAGGATACTTTACAAAGTGATTTTTAACGCCTTAGGAAAATTTAAATATATTTATAGGCTTTAAATAATATTTTTTTAATGTTTTCTAAAGGTGCGTTAGAAATTAAAAAGATTATAGCAGATGTTAAACGGAAAAAAAACATTTATTTAGCATTGTCTAGTTATATATTTTATTTGATAAAACTACTGAGTCTTAAAAAAAGGTATATTTGTAAAATACTTATTTGTATTTTAGGAACAGAGCATTTGGCATTCGATTTTTTGGAAGCTGGTAGTGCCACCTTTCCCGGCTTATTTCACTTTTCAATAACTCGAGTGCGTGCAACAATGTCCAGCGGCGAGTGTCCGCTTCTGTGTTCGACTGTTGACGGCGCGTCCCAACAAAAAACAAAAATTTGTTTATCTAATTAGCAATGCACCGGGCGACGTCCGCGCGGGCAGCGCTTTTCACCTGATTTGGCATGCATGGCAGGCGGTGCAAGTGGCAAGTCGATGGCCGTAGAAATTGCCCTAACCCCAAATGCAAAGCGATAAAAATATGTGCGAGGCGCGCTTTTGGTTGGCCAATGAACGAAAGTGTTCTATGGGTGTGCAGACGGTCCAAAAACCGAAAATCGAAAACCAAAAACCGAAAATGAGAAAACAACCCAACTCTCGCCAAGTGCCGGAAATGTCTGTGTACAAGTCAAAGCGAGTGTGTGTATGTGGGTGAAATTATGTGCCAGAGAAAGGTTGCCTAATTTCTGTCATTAAAGTACACGGCACGAACAGGAGCCACTACTGCATTTGTACAAATTAGTGCAAATTTTTTTTCTGCCAAAAAAAAAAAATACAATATTTTTAAATTTATATTACAAGATACTTAAAATGCTTTTATAAAAAGTACCTCTTCTAAATCAGATATTTAAATTAATAAACAAAGTATATATATAAATATCAGTTAGGATTGTTTACCTATTTTCTTTTTTATTGTTTATCCTTAATGCAAATTTTGTAAGAAAAGATAAATTCTACGAACTCATTATTTAAAATAAATATATTTTATTTAAAGAAAATGTTTTCATATTTAAATGGAATATTATTTGTAGTGTGCTGGCCATGAGGAGATTATGGGGCAGGAGGAGCGCGACAAGAGCTGACAGCTGGAGCACACAAATTTGCCATGCGTGTGTCTTTTGATGACTCTTTCCCGAGAGCGACGACACGGCGGAGACGACATGTTCATTAAAGCCATGGCCGCGTCATCTTGGTCACCATCCCGATCTCCATCCTCTGGCGCACCGACAAAGCAAATAAATACTAAAATTTGCATGCCTGCAACATAAATCGTCGCAAAATATTAAACAAGTCAGCAGCAACAGTTGAAATCAATAAATTTATTGATACAATTTACACGGCTGAGTGGGCTGCCAGATAGCTGGATGCATGCAACTCGGCTGCATGCAACACACATGCGCTAATTAAGGGGGTTTCAACTCGCTGGCGGGGGTGTTTTGGCCAATGCTGCACTTGAGATGGCGCGATGGCGAGATGGCCTTGCAAGTGGCCACAGAAACAAGTTAACGAGACTGGCCAAATGACCAACTGACTGAGGAAATTCAATTGGTGATTTAGTGAGGCGAAATCGAGGGATACAAATTACGGTGGGGGGATTAACGCAGGTACATCGAAATGATTTGCGATGATTTGGTACTTACTCTGACTTGATTTCATCGCATACAAATTGACAAAATAAGTAAAATGCCATTCGCTTTGATTTATAGAGGAATCGCTCTTGCTGTGTTTATTTATATTTTTAAATAACATAAATAATGAAGAGCAAATTTGTATTATTTTAATGTACTTTTTAACAAAGTCTTCCGAAAACTAAAAAAGAAAGTGGAATGAATCTTTGCTTTACATTTAAAATTCTGCAACCATAGATATTTAAGAGTGCGCATAGATATTTGCATATTTTGCCATTCTAGGCTGTGAAAGTCATGTGTCAAGTTCGTTGCCAGAGTCTTTTGACTTGGCATACGTTTTTTGTTCGAGGCTTTTGCAACATCGCCACCTAATTGACACCTTCAAAGTGTTGGGAGAAAGGGGACAAAGGGAGGCTCTGTGGCCAAACGACAGCATAATCTTCCCGCTGCCGTTGTTATTTTCTTGGACTTATTGTCCGGCTGACGACTTTCGTATGCATGTCCGTCGGCTCGCTCTCATCTTCCCCTCAACTACGCACACGCCCAGCAGCAACAGCAACGCCAATTGACAGCCAGTCATGTCATGACTATTGCCAATTGTTTTTGCTGCCCGAAGCTCTTAACATATTTTACGATTTGTTGGCCGCAAGTAGAAATTTATTTAGCCAAAAGATTTTCGGTTTTTTATGCAACAGGTGAAGGCGAAAAGCGAAAGCCCAACAAAGCTAAAACAAAAAACATTCTTGGCCGGCAGCAAACTTAAGCCAAATCAATTGTTAATGAACAATATGTTGAATTTTATGGGCACTTAATAGAATGCAGCAGCAAACAAATTACTGAAACTGCCAAACTATACAGTCGCTTTGCTATTAAACATTAATTTAACTTAATCTATCTTAAGAAATTATAAACAATGCAAAACAAGTTCGTTGTAATATAAATAAGTAAAAAACATAAACTTGGTTGGTAATAAAAATTAAACTGTTAATTAATCAATGTAGTCTGATAGGAGTGAGCTTAAATTTGAAGAATTGTTGAAATCCATTAAATTACTGACTAACAACATTAAATTTTTACTATTTTTAAATAAAAAACCATTACACTACAGCCTAACTCATGAACCAGCAATAAATGGAAAATTTAAATGCTTTTGGTGTCTAAAATCCATTAAACGCTTTGAACGACTTCAGTTTTATGCACTGTGAACCTATTATCGGAAAAAAAAAAATACAAACATAATAAGAGTTCTTGGCCAACTACGGCAACATGTTGCAGGTAGTGAAAAGTGAGTCTGGCTTTAGACAACGGCAACAACCATCGCCAAACAGGCAGCAACAAAAGCGAAAAGACGACAACTTTGGTGACGAAGCCGACGGCGCAGTTAACTGCGACTGCGACGCGTGTGTTTATGGATTCGCTTTGGCCAAAAGCGTTGGTCAACAGCGTTGTTGCGACGGCGGCAGCAACACCACAAGAAGACAAGTGCAGGCTTTGCTATTCAGCTGGTTCGTTGTACCTGCAATCTCAGTCGCAGTCGCCGCCAACGTCTCAGCCGCTTTTAACAGTTTCGAATTTGAGTTTTGGCCAAGACCACGCGAAATCAGTTAACAAACGGACGCGTTTTGAAACGGATGCACTGGTGGCAAATGCTGGCAAAGCAAACCGAACCAAACCGAACCGAACTGAACCGAACCGAAACGAAACGAAGAAAACCTGAAGCCCCTGAAACTCTGGTACTGGCTCCTCCATAAAGATCCCAGGTTTTTGTCCCAAAACCCGAGCCCGTGCGAATGTCTGTCGGTTTCGGCGGCAGAAGCTCGAAGAGCTGCTATCTTCATCGGTCGCGCTGGTCGTTTAAAAGTGAAATTTACTGAATGAAATGAAATGTCTTCTGGCCAGCCTCGCTGTCTGGCCGTGTGGCTTTGTGTTTGATTATTGATTTGTGACTATTGTCGGCAAGGAAATGAATGCAAATTAGTTGGCAAACATTCGCCGCCTCGAAAGGATTGCAAAAAACAAAAAGCCAACAAGAATACAAAACGCTTTGTTCGCAAATTAGTGGATGTATTTGTTCCTGTGCCAGTGGCATTGAATGGTAAGCCAATTGGCCGCAAAAAGCAGGTGATGTAAGATCCTGCTTAGATTGTGTAATTCTGTGAAAGTGAAAGAACAAATCAATTAAAGAAAAGATTTCCCAATTTTAAAAGATGCTTCTTAGACTTATAAAAATATATGGTATTTAAGCGAATGTAAACTGTTAAACTTTATTTAGAAAGAGGCAAGGTTTACCTAAATAAACTAGAACTGTCTTGTTTGACAATTACAGTTAATATTTTATAAATTCAAGCTTGCAAAATTAAAATAATTGATAACATTTTACCACTTCACTTGATGTGTTTGAGTAGTTTAACATCATGCAGGCCTACGTGTCATCAGGCGTAAATTTAGTACGATTATTCATTGCGATCGGTGTTTATTACCCACTGAAGTTGATCGTTAAACAACGTGTTTGATCAGTAACGATAATGTTAATGTGATTTCGTATATCTCAATGAAAGTATCATAAATAAACGTAAGTCGCCTAGCGTATAGTAAAATCAGTAAAATGTAGTAGAAATTGTATATACCTTTGAAATACCGTGTTAAAGGGGAACTTAACTTTTCAATCTGTCTGATATTAAAGAATTTCTGAAGACCTTTTTTCGCCTAAACAAACATGGATCAAGGTCTTCCTCTTCGTAAATAAACAAACGATCAATTAAGAACCACGAAAGTAACATTTTACTTGCAACACTTGGTAACGACTTATTGTCCATGGTCGTTTTCACGCATTTTCCATCAATCAACTCTCGGTTTTCAATGGTATAATCCATGACTGCGGATGTTGCACATAAATTCCACCTTTCTTCGCCAGCGAAATCGAATGTTTCTTCTCGTTTACGATCTTGCATCTTTGCACAAAGAATTAAGGCGCTGAATGGTGTTTAAGCTGGCGCTTATGCCGACGAAAAGCGGACGAAAAGCGGACAAACAAACGGACATCACTCATACGCCGTGTGTACAGAATGAAAGAGACAATTCAAGGCAAGGAGAGAAAGGGCAGCCACTTGATTTTCCAGGCACTCCCGGTCCACTCGGCGCATTTATCTTTCACTTAAAGTGAAGATGACATTCTTTAAATGAAATTAACTGCCGGCAACAAAAAGCCGAAGCTGCAACTGCTGATGCATCTGTTGATGTTGCTGGTGTTGCTGATGCTGCTGAAGCTGCTGATGTTGCTGAGGTTGCAGCTAATGTTGCCGCTGTGCCACAGTGGCTTCTGTGGCAGCTGCTTTGGCTGCAATTAGTATTTGTCTTTGGCTAATACGCTGCCATGTTGGTATGCATCTCTGTGCGCCAGTTTCTTGTTGCTTGTGTTGCTGCTGCAGGTTGCTGGTTGCTGGTTGTTATTGCAACTGCTGCTGCTGCTGTTGCTGGCATAAAAAGTGTCGCGCACTTGAATGGATATTTGGTCTCTGCTTCGGTTGTTTGTCTATTTATTGGTCTGTTTGCTTGCTCATCGGCTTTTTATAGCTGCCTTTTTAACGCACATTGGCTTAGCCGTCCACTTAACAGCTGTCGCATCAAGTGCATCTCTCACTCCATCTCCATCTCCATGTCGCAGTGTCTTTCGATCGCCTCAGTGATCTCCACTGATCTCCAGTGGAGCCTTTTGGGTTCCATGTTGTGGGCAGCGACTTGAGCGACTGACTGAGTGCCGGCTTTTAAGATACACCGATCGAAAGTGCTTGGAATGCAATTATGATAGGGGGCCATACAGCTGATGCGTTCATATAATTTTGACATGGCGTGGGTTCGAAGGCCTGTGAATCACTTGAAAGTTGTGGAATAAAACGCTCTAGTTTTATTGCAGCAAGTGTAATAACCTAGCGCCTAACGATTTGTATAAAAGTCCTTAAACTGGTTGAAGTGAAACGTTTTAAAAGCCTGGCTTAGCAGTTAATGAAATTCAAAAAGTAATTGACCAAATAAGCTTTGAAGTAAAACAACCAGTTTTTTTATTAATAGGAAATCGATAGCAATTTTAGAGAGGTATATTTAATTAAAAAATGTTCCATTTCCGTAAGGAAATGTTATAATGAAAAATCAAATTACAATATTAACACCAATTAACTAACAATTAACTGAGAAAAGTATTCTATTTAAATTTATACCATACCATAAAAGTAAATAGTTTCTATATCTAAATATTACTATTAAAACATCTGTCAGTACAGATGATTGCATAAAATATCCATAATTTGCATATCAGACAATCGCAACACACTTAACTCCAACACTCACTTAGCGACTATTACATTTCTCTTGTCATGTAAAGCCAATAAAATGAAATAACACAGAAATGATGCGTAATTAAACGCATTATGCAAATGCGATGTTAGACAATAAAGACAATTAAATAACTCAAACGAAACGAGAGCGTCAAAACAAGTTAGGCCTACCTCATAAAAAATGGCAGCAATTTCGATGCATGAAACTGTTGACCAGTGGAAAATTGGGGGAAATTGTGTCCATCATTAGTGGCAATACTGGGAAAATGGGTTTTCGAATTGTTGACCGGGCCAAATTATATTCAATTGCAAGGCCATCATATCACCCCTCCCACTTTTCTTGACCGGCGGCGAATTTTATTTGATTTTAATTGCTGCCATAGCAAGATGTTTGCCATTTAATGGCTTTATTTATGCGTGTAGTAATCAAGTTAATTTTTACGATTGCCGCTGAGCGAGTTGCAGCAACAACAACAACCACCGCAGCAGCACGCCGGCAACAACAAGCAAACCGTAGAGCTGCTGCAAAATAAATGCAAATTTTCTTTTATGATCAAAAAGCACAAATTTCACTTTCGATGGGAACGAATTGCCGGCAAGCGCAAGCCGAAAATAAATATTCGCATAAAAAAAAATAAAAAACAAAAAAAAAAAGAGACAAAGATGACATGCAACTGGGGAGGGAGATGATGATAAGAAGCCCTTAGGACATTTCTTCGAGAGGAAATGGAGAAGAAAGAAAGCCAAAAGGAGAAGAGCCGCCGCCCACCCAGGTCGCCGATCCTCGCCGATCTTCGCCGATCTTTGGTCTCCGGGGAGCCTCCTGGTCGGTCAAGTCGCCCATCTGCCCTCTGCCGCTTAATGCCATAAATTATGAAATAATCGTATCAATCTCTGCGATCCGAAAAGTTGTCGCTGGCCAGGAGGAGCGTCTTAAATCAGACAGAGACTTTGTTGTATGCATAAAAGGCCTAAGTGAGTTTGGGAATTTTTTCATCAAAGCTGTAGATAAAGCTTCAAGGCATATCTTAATTATATTGTGATTATCCTACATTAAGGGGCATGTATTTATTTTTTCTAGGTTAAGATGTTTTTTTTTAAACGCATAATTGGTGGAAGTAATGTGTTAATGTGTTTGGGATTATGTTTCTATCTATAGGTATAGCTTCAGGTGATGATAACATTACATTAATGTGCGAATAAAAAAGCTATATAAAATAATTGGCCAGCTACAAGCATTTTTACGAGGCTGCTGAAGGAAATATAAGCTCTTAAATATCATCGATAATATTCCCTTCTTCATTATTCTTATAAAGTTGATAGATACTAAACATTTTAAGTTGTTAATATTTTTTAGCAAATACTTTCCAGCCTTAACTCTTTTGCATAGCTTTTCTTTTCTATTAATTTTAATAATTTTATATCCATTCTGCTTCCTAATTTAAATAACTACTCGTTTCTGTGAATGTATTTCAATTATATACATTTTCCAATATGTGGATATGTTGTTTATACATTTTTAGTATGTGTATACTTTCAAGTTCGTGTCTTAAGTCCTTCGTTACTTTACATTTACATGGCTTGAAAGCCCTTTCATATCCCCTTCTAGTACTCATTCAAGCCTCGTTAAGATTCGATTTGTAAAATCAATTTACAAGTTAATATCTCTTCATTAATAAACCGAGCTTAGTGAAAGGTTAATTTTCTTTACTTTTTTTATTTTATTTTAAACTGGCATTTTATTTTATGATCACAACTAAAAGGCTACCTGTATTAACTGGCCTGCAATCTGGATAACAACCTGTTAAGTGAGTCCAATGCAACAACCGCCAAACTTCCTCATTCACGTCCGTTATCCAATAGTTAAGAATCAATTGCGGTGGCTAAAAATTGCACAGATCGAGTTCGGCGTACACAATCGATGTGGCTGGCTATTAAATCACCAGCGAGTCATAACCGAAACTGAACAATTTAACAAAATTCCAGATAAGCCGACACGAAAAAAAAAACCAGAGAGACCGAGCCAACGAACCGAGCCACACGATGATTAGTGAACGCCACAAGAGCCGCGATTTGGTTACGATACTTGGCCTGCTCCACCTCCTGTTCCTCGGAGTCGCCTCCGGCCATGTGATCGAGGTCTTGGCTCAATCAACAACCGCATCCACATCGCAGACGTTGCAGACTTTGCAGACTTCGCAGACTACGCAGACATCGCAAACTTTGGAGACGAAGACGAATGCCAGTCAGGATGGGGCTGGTCTGACAACAGGTGAGCGAACAACGCGCAACGAACGAACAACGAACGAACAACTATCAACAACCGCAGCGAAATGAAAAATATGAAAGATTTGCACTTTGATTTTGTTTCGCCAACATAATTGGGTGCCTGGGTGCGGAGAGTGGGCACTATTTTAATGGCCAGCATTAGGAGATCAAACAATTTTGAACGCAATCATGCGAGGCATTTTAATGCGAATGAAAGTGAAAATCGTCTGGCAACATTGTTTCGTGGTCACAGGCAATTATGCAAGGATAAATGGGATACAGATGCATGTGCTCGATTGGGATTGGGTTTGGGTTTGGGTTTTTGGTGGGATAGGATTGGAGTGGCCGCCGAGTAAAGTGAGCTAGTCGAGTGTTGGCAGAGTGCGCCCACCCATTGAGCTATTGAAAGGAATGGGCAAATCGACGGTATAAATACCCTTAAATAGTATTCGGTTGTTAGTTTTCATTTGCCCAAATATTTGAACAATTTTAAAAGTTTATAAAAAATTTAAAAGAAGTTTTTTTTGTTTTTGATAATTAGATTAGAGTGACATTTAAATTAAAACCTTCTACTCATGTTTTACTTAAATACGTAAACATTATTATTGTTTTCGATGTACTAATGACATCACCTCCTAATGTTCTTAAGTTTCCATTAAAATTTTAAGAGAATAATAATAATTATAAATGTTTAAATTAAAGATACTTCAGAAACTAAAGAATATTGATTTTAAATCTTATTAACTAAAGTAAAGAACAAATTATTTTCAATTTAATAAGTATTCGAAAAAATAAAATACAACCTTCAGTGCTAAACATATTTGGTATGAATTTGTGAGAACTACAAAATTTAATTTCCTTTGTGAAGGTATTATTATATTGCGGATAACTTTTATATCTTAAAAAAAATAATAATCGTAAAAGCTAGATCAAAAGAAGGAATGAAGGCAATATAATAGAAAATAGATAGTCATTATGGTAAGCGTATTAAAAGCCAATTGCCAGAAGGGGATCAAGATGCATGAATGGCCATTTCCGCTTGTGCCAAGTGCATGTCCTCACGTCGAGGAGCTGGGAGCTGGGAGCTTATAGCTCCGCATGCCTTTGCAACCGCTCAAATGGAAAGCGATTTGTCTGGTTTTAGCTAATAATTTATCAGGCCTCCGCATTCGTAGTCGTCGCCTTCGCCTTCGCCGCCTCTGCCATTTGATTTTTCCTCAGTCCGTTGATCAGTCAATCAAGCCAAGCCAAAGCCAATTCAAGCCGAAGTCCAAGTAGGCCCAAGTCGCAGGTCCAATGCGACTTTATGTCTAGCTGTCTGACTGTTTGCCGTGTTGATTGCCTTGGTCGTGGCCCCCACTGATCAACGCCTGCCGACGGAGGAGTACCAGTACCCCGGCCAAGTGTTGGCTGCCAGGTGGGCGTTTTGGGGCTCACAGAGTCAGACTTTGGCGGCTTGGCCTCTGACTCTGGCTTAATTAGGAGCCACATGGCGGGGAGCTAAGCGGCTCATCCAATCACGCAGTGAGGCTCAAGCGTCGGGTTCAATCGACTGCAGCTCCAATCTTGCGCACTGTCCGCGGGCATTTAAAATCAATTTATGCAAAAACTGCACAAAAGCGATTGAAGTCAGATAGAAACGAGGGTAGTTCGTTTACTATTGGGTGTTCTCTCTTTGAGAATTTTATTTTGTGGTTACCTCAAATGTTTTCTTAAAAAAAAAAGTGAGCTTAAAGTTGTAACCACTTCTACGACATATTTAATTACCTTTATATTAAGCTATCAATGTTAAGGCCACAGTTTTTAGACTACTTTAATAACTAGACCAAAGTGGCAAAAATCAGGTGCAAATAAATAAGGATTACAAAATAAACTAATGAAAAAATAGGCAAATCTTGTAATTAAAATATAAATCGCAGAACACCCCTCGCTGTGAGCAACCAGGATGCCGACTTGGCCAAGTGACGGGACAAAAACATTTGTTAACACTTTAACGAGTTATGATTTGGCCGTGGCCATGGCACATAGCTCCTAGCTCATAGCTGGATCTGCAGCTCAGATGCCTGCCGGCCATTTGGGGGGCAATTAAAGTTGCACATGTAAAAGTAAATTGATACGGCACTCAATCATTTACCCCGGCTTCGTTTCTTCCACAGCCCCGCGGCTGGATCCGAACAACAACAACGAGTGGCGACCACTTGGACACGGAGATCCGCTGCAGAAGGACCCCACCTACGACTACAGTCCGCCGGCCTTGGATCGAGTTCGCTATTGGGCGGAGAGCAACAGTACGGGTCAGAGTAATCCGGAGGCCAGGAAAAAGGAGCTGCCGCCAGAGGTGCTTCGCAATAAAACCAAGAGCGAGGTTCTGCTGTTGGGCGTGGCCAGTGAACGGGTTAGGGTGCCTCACGCCCATCCATATCCACCAGTTGGCTTAGGACAGCATCAGCATCAGCATCAGCAGCAGCATCAGCAGCAGTTGCAGCAACAGGCTAAATATGCAGCCTCCATCCGGAGGAGCTACTATGCCCCCACCCAACAGCAACACAGCCCACAAGTGCCACAAATGCCACAACAAAGCCAACATGTGGCAACGCATTTACATGCCCAGCAGCACATGCCGCATACCCACTTGATGCCACCACCCATGATGATGATGATGAAATCGGGCGCCTCCTCCGTTCCACACATGGAGTACAGACACAACAGCATGATGGCCACAGGAGCACCCACCTCGTACATGAGTTACATGAGTTCGCCAACGCCCAAACAGGCGATGACCTCCTCCGTGATCTACCATCAGCCAGCGATGGGTCACCACACCTCTTTGTCGGCGTCAACGCCTTGGATTACGAGTATGCCACCAGCACATCGCTTAAGCTACTCAGACCCACATCTGCAGGAATCTATGCACACCTATAGCTTTTCGAGGCCCCACCACCAGCAATCGGTGAGCTACTCGCCCAACTCGCTGCCAGGACATCAGGGTGGACCAAAAACTGGTCTCAGGAAGCCCTGGCTGCATGAGTTGCTCCAAAAGGAGGTGGTGGTGACGTCCAAGCCCAAGGTTAAGCCCACAATGCCGGCCACCAAGTATCTGATGGGCACGAGTAAGCCACATCATCCACTGCCACCTGTTGGTTTTGGCATTAGCTCCACCCGCCCACCGTTTACCTACGCCCCAGTGACCTTTGTGCCCGGACCACCCACCATAGCAGTGCCCACTGTGGCCACCAGACAAGAAGCGCAGCCGGACATCTACATCACACCCACTCCGCAAGCGAGTAGCTCTGGCTTTAGACCCATGTTGGTGACCAGCCCGACCACCGTGGGAACCACTCCATCGACCACATCGACCACATCGACCACATCGACCACTTTACCCATTTATCAGCGGTCCAGCACAACAACCAGTAATCGTTTGCTGATCCCCCAGACCAGCAATCTGGCCGAGCGACCCACAGTGGCTCCTGCTGCGAGTGAACCCACCACCGACTCGCTTTTCTCCCATTACAAGCAACCTCCGAAGCCCCTGCTAGGACCCATGTACCTCATCATCGAGGGTCATTCGAAGGTGAAGACCTATGGACAAAACGAATTGGATCCACACAGTCCGAAGATAGTGCCGGTCATCTCGAAGAGGGAACCAGTGGTCAGGATAGCAGATCCCAATGAGAAGCGGGGAACCGTGGAGTCCTACCAGGTCAAACATTTGCACACCAAAACAACGCCCATGACAACGACTACAACGACTAGCAAACCCTCTACCGCAAAGCCCTCGACCACAAGAGCCCCTGAAAGAGCTCCTGTTTACAGCACTACAAAGGCACCAGTTAGCACCACCACTAAGCCCAAAATAACCACCACATCCAAAACCACTAAGGCAACAACAACGACAACAACAACAACCAAAGTGCCAATTAGCAGTACTACACCTTCGATTCCACAACAACCAAAGCCAGAAGCAGCAAGTGATGTAAATGATCTACTTAGTCTACTGGACAATATGTTTGCCGATGCCCATGAGATCGCCTCATCCACAACCGGGTCACCACCATTGGCCACCGCCACCACGAGCACCGTGCTGAAGCCAGTTAGTACCAAGTTGTTGCCACAACAACCGGAACCCAGGATTTCCAGTAGTGCGGCGAACATAGAGAGTCTGCTGGAAGACGACACCCATGAAGATGATGAAGCTGGCGAGGATCCAGGGTCACCGATTTCCACTGAGACACCACCGCGAGCAACGCGTCAGGTCTTTGACTATGATCAATTGCCAGAGTCACGGATTAAAGAGGGGGTCACCGTTAGCGACATTATGGAATACAACGATGATGACGACGATGAGGAGCTGGAGGGAGATGATGAAACGGCCACCGATGGTGAACTGGAAGACGAGGAGGAGCCAGACGAATCGCACAATTTGCTCAAGCGAATCGATCAATTTGTGGATGATGTAGACGATGGCGATGACGATTTGGAGGATCTGATCGAAGGTCTGGACGACGGGGAGATCGACGAAAGGCGACAGCAGCATTAGCCCAAGATAAGCATTTTCTTAAACTGCGCTCTATACCAAATCTATCAGAAACTTTTTCTCACGCCTAATACGTTCTTGTACATAAGTCAGCTTTAATTGAATCTGTATTTATTTGTTGTTAGTTCTTAGGCCCTGCTGGCGTCACAATGTGACTGCACTCTATACCCAATTTAATTCGAGCAAAGAGTTTTCGTTTTGTAATTAAGCATTAAATTATATAAATTTTCTTACGTTTTTTAGTTCTTAAGTGTGCAATAATTGAAAAATAAATGCGAAAATATAAAAAGTCAATGTAATTAAATTTTTGAAACGGAAATAAACAAAGGTGAGCGAAATTTTAAATAACTTCTTTAAACTTCTCCTAAAAATATTTAAGATTTTTAAAGGAAATTATTTAAACAATTTTAAACATTTTATTTAAGCCAGTTCAAATGAAACTCACATTCGTACATACACAATAAAATGTTACATTCCAATGGTTCAATTTCAAACCAACCGCCAAAAAGCTCTTTCCAATAAAAATCGATCGTTCAAAGCTCGATAGCGATAACACAAGTGTATGCTGTACAGTGTTGGCAAAAATACTGCGGCAAAAGGCTGATATACACAAACTAAAAAAAAAAAAACATTAAGCTTTAGGCCATTCGCATATTTTAATTTTTTAATGTATTTATTTGTTATTTGGTGAATAAGTTTTTCCCGCCAAAAAACAGTTATTTCCCGCTAAAATTCTGTCATCACTGCTGTCGACCTATCGCTTCACTTTGTTTATTTCCAATTGGATTTTCCAAGCGCCAGTTGAAGAAAGAACGCCGAAGAGACAACAACGCGCCAATTGGATTAAATTGTGAGCGAGGTGTGCTAAATAATTCATTATTAGAAAAGCGGACAATAAAAGAAGCTTCAAGTTCACACAGCCAAAGTGCGAAAAACTAATTTAATCAAGATCAAGTGTGAGAGAGTTTTTGTGTTTTGTTTACGCTGCCAAGCGATCTTCGTTCTCTTTCTTACTTTCGCTTTTGTTTGGAGTTCAAAAGAGGAGTAATGAACTTGAACGAATAAGAAGAATACTTGCGAATGCAGTTGTTTAAACGGAAATGTGTTTCAGTTTGGCATAAAACAAGGGAAAAAGCAACAAGTGAACAAACACGTGCTGAGAGATTTGGTGACTCAAAAAGTGTTTTAATTTCCGATAACAGCAGCCTAGGTGATAAAAAGGCTAGTAACAAATCGTAAATAATTTAATATTTTTATGCTTGGTATAGAAATCAAAAATTAGTGAAACTATCTTTGCCTCCCCTTGAATTTAACGAGCGGTGATAATGCCTATATACCTAAACGTGTGTGCATATATTTGACCGATGTCTATATAACCTTGATCCGGGCACTGCGACGCGGCCTGAAAAAAAAAATATTTCCGAAATGTGGCGTCGCTTCCAACAAACAGAAAAAGCCAAACAGTAAAAATCAAACAAACTTCTATGCCAAAAAAACCGGTTCACTTTACGCCAAAAACCCAAACAGAGATTTCGTCTGATCAGAGATAAAAAGTGCCAACAAAAGAGAGAGAGAGAGTGTGTCTGTCTTGTTGGAAAAACAAATTCCATTCCAATAGGAATTATCAGTTGCACGGCAAATGTCAGACTCCGGCTGATAAGAACGACGTTGTTTCCTTCTGATTAGCAAGCAGCCGGCGAATTTTCGTGTCTTTTTACTCTCGATATTTGAGCTACAGTCCAACTTCCTTAGGGCTTACTTATCTACATCTACTACTAAAAGTTGTAAGAAAACATAACAAATTAAAATAGTTATGCGATTAGAACGAGCACTTTTCTAATGCGTTAATGAAAATTAGAATTTTGAGTTTATAAAGAGAAGTCTTTACATTTTCTTTTTATGAACTCGGCTAGTTTGTAGTTCATCTGCATCCGTTTTACATTGTAAGGGACAAGGAAATTGTGATAAGAAGGGTGCCCTGCCAGACATGTCTACCCTGGCAACATGATAACGAGGGGCTTATGCAACCACAGAGTTTATGAACCGCTGCATTGATAACCTTTATCAATCTTCAGTCGATGGGCAGTCGTCCAGCGCTCAATATGATGGATTTACTTGAGTTACTGACCTACTTTTATGGCTGGTACGGGGAGTTCTTCCATTTAAAGCGGCAACCGGTTCCAGCAGTAATTATCTGACCAATTATGCTACTACAACTGAGGCTTCTGGAATATTTGTAAGATGTTAAGGTCGCCATAGGCTTTTCATTTACGGCAGGAGTGCATTAATTATAAATACACAGTGGGCACTAGGCTGACGAACCAACCGTTGCTTCATTAATATCTGTGCAGGGCAGATAAGTGCTTAACTTACCGCTGCACCCCCCACCTTAATCGGTTTAAATATAAACCCAGAGTTCAACAAACTAATCGTCAAACCGCAGCGGCAATTCAACTCAGGTTCGGTTCTCCTTGCCACATGCGGGTTAAATGTATATCCATGCAAACAGCAGCGGCCAAGAGAATAGCGTATCATTTTCTGAGCTAAATAATTGTCCCCAAAACTTTTGGATTTTTTAAATCAATCTAGAAAACCTTGAAAATATATTTAAAATACCTTCCAAATATTACAATAAATGATTTTTATAGGTGTCAATAAAAAATGTCCAATATATATATAAAACAAACATATAAACTACAATAATAGTAATAGTTAATTGATAGTGTTCTTTATATTGATATGATATTTTGTTAATTTTATATCGAAAGACGTTAAACGCCAGAACGATCATCTTGGACTCCCTTGTGTGTTTGATTATATGGAAGTGTTATATTTATATTTTATATGCATTTTTACTGTATCTACTGCGTGCCCCCAAATTCTGGTAATTACTCATCATTCTGTTGATGAGCTATGACGAGCTTCGACTTCGAGTTCTGAATGACGGACGTTGCGTCACGATGACTCCACTTAAATGATTCTACATTTAATGCACATTTACATACTGTTCGAGTATATGTCTTTCTTTCACTTGGATCAGTTCAACGCACTGAATAATCATGTAAAAGTTAGTGTTTGATGCCACTGGAATACTAAGTACACACTGCAAGGTCTGACGAGTTCGCTAATCAAGAATGCTTCTTTGGGAAAATTTCCACACAGACTTATTGATTTTTACAATATAAACATTGCTTTTGCAAAACTGTTTAGAAAACCAGTATTTAAATTGATGACATTGAACGCAACTTACGATCCCTTCAAGTTAACTTGTTTTTGCATACCCGATAAGCAGCGATAGTAATCGAACTTTGATGGCAAATAAATAAGGCATAAAAAAGCTACTCAAATAAAACTATTAAGTAAAATTGTTGCCTTTATAAAATGACGCTAATATTGTTACTTAAGAATTTCTAGTTTCAACAGATAACCCTGCAGTTTCGTCATGGAAGTTGTTTGCAAATACAATACAATATTATTATTTGCTAATAGCTAAAGCAGCAATTTCTAATCGTATCTTGCCACTTGTTGTTTGACATAAACAATATACGATAGACCGAATCTCTCCCTAGAATCTGAAATATATTCAGAAATAGAATTATATACCGCTTTACTTTCAAATAGAATATTAAGAATCATTGGCTTCGTAAGGGCAGGGTATGATTATCAAAACATTTATTGTGTCTAAATGTTATCATTCAGTTGACATGCGATCTTGACTCAGGCAGCTAATGTCAAGTACGATCGTAGCAACTTTACAACTGGTTTTACACAGCTCAAGTGAGAAGCGGTCGGCTTATAAGTGACTTATAAGGCAATGTCTATGCATCTGTATCTGATTACATAATCAGCAATCGCAAAGTCAAATGAACTTTGACCGCAATGGCTGTGGAAATCGCTTTTAGGTGCTTCGGGACCCATTTAGTTATATATTTGTTTTTAAAATGAATGTTTAAATCATAAATAAATATACCAAAGAGTTATTTCGTAATTACCGTCATTACATCTTATCAGTAAAGTATAATAACCCTCTCAATCCAAATCTGAGTTATTTCTGTGTCAAAGTAAAAGTACTTGAACTCTTTATAAGGGGAACCAACAAAAATCTTATCGTGGTATGCTCCATTCAATTGCAAAAAGAATGTGCGATAAGCAAAAACTAATCATCATAAATTGAAATTTTGTTTATAGAGAGCGGGGACAATAACGGCTAGAACAGCATGACCACCAATAAGGATCCCCAAGATAAGGGAGCCGGAAAACCAGAACCGACCAAGAATGGCGGATCCGGTGGTGTGGGAATCATGAAGCGCTTGAGAAGATCAGCCTCTGCCACGGAACACAATCTGAGCAGCCTGCGGAACCGCAAATCAACCCAAAATCTGTTCGATCAGCATGGCAATCCCATCGATCTGCGGCAATACCGCAAAGTCTTGGATAAAGATGAGAATGGCAATGGGACGAATGGATCCGAGAAGAAGCTGCGTTATAGGAGAACCCAAAGTGTGACTCGTGCCGAGGAAATTTCGAACAAAGAAGAAAAGCAGCGAAAAGCTCAACCGGGCAGACCGTGAGTAAATAAATGATATATATGTATATTGAAAAGCAAAGTAATTGCTTAACCCACTTTAGAATCCATCGACCTCGAGACTCTCTGTTTTCTTGGAGCTCCGGATTTACCAATTTTACGGGTCTGGTTAATTGGGGATTTCTACTGCTTTGCATTGGAGGTTTGCGTTTAGGTCTGGAGAATCTGCTCAAGTAAATATGAAGGGAATCTAATCATAGGAAAAATTCTAACAAATTATACCCTTATCTAAGATATGGCGTTCGCATAAATCCCTTGGACTGGTTCTTTTTCATAAGCGGACACAATGAGGGCGAGGGTCACAATGCCCTAATCCTGAGCATTTGTAAGTGCCCAAATCCCTAGGATTAGCCATCCCATACTCTTAATCCTTAAAATCTCCATCTTTTCCAGACTCTTTGGTTCACATTTCCCTCTGCCTGGCTGTGGAAAAGGGACTTGCCATGGTGAGTACTCACTTTGATAGCATCTAACGCCTAATTTGTTCGGTCGCGACTTGAACCACGTAATAAGCTTAAACATCGTATAATATGATAAATTTTAAAGTATCAAGTTATTATTGAAATAACGACAATTTAGAAAATTTATGTCTATGACAGAAAACGTTTTGTTACTTTGAGTATACTTTTACTGTTTTTAACGTCAATCAAAGAACTTGGTGCTAATTAAATTATTACCGCAACTGCAATA